CTATTGGTGCAGAATAATGGTTTGTTAAATTGTGAAATCCACCCTTATACTGCCATAAATGCGGAAGTTGATCTCCTAGTCGCCACTAATTAAACAATTTGCTCATTAAATAATTTTACCTTTTTTTGGCTGGGGGTTGAGCTCGCATTGATTTACTGAAGGAACAACTACGGTGTCGAGTATTATTTCAAACTTGCTTCTCAATATGAATTTTTATATGACATTGTATTCTCCGAAATACTAAGTTTGCTGCATGTTCCTGAAAGTTTCCTGTAGTTGCATTTTAGACCTGCTCGCGTCTAGCCAATTAACCATCTTAACCCAATAGTGAAGTCGCCTGTAAGACATATAAACACCAAACAATACCCCGACAAGTGCGGGTACCAAATGGGATTTCCAACAATTATCGGAAATCTGAAGCCAAGGCGGTCGGCCAACAGATCCGAGAAGCAACTTCAACTAACTTTGATTTGGCAGTTGTTAGCGAAACTGTAAACAGCAACGGAGTAACAGACGGCGCGTGAATAGAACAACAGAGTTTATGTTACATTGTATAAATCCTGTCAACTCGCGCTAGCGGCTCTACAACTTGTTAAAATCGGGCGAACATGGACCTATCACTTCCTCCTAACACAGAAATGTACTGGCACAATCTCATGAAGGATTGGCTGATAGCCATGACGCTATCCGCGATACTGTATTAGTTAGTCTGTAAATGAACCGTTCTGTGCAAAAACCAATAGACCAAAAAAGTCTCAGAGTCAGATTTTGAATATCTAGAACTGCTTGGATTGAATCCATTAAATACATTGCCAAATACAGAAAGCATTTACGCTCATCACCACAACCATCGTAAGAAAATGTTTACAATAGTTATACTAAGTGACATATAAATCCGAACACCCAGTTTAAATGGTTTTATTTTAATAAAAGTTGGTGAATGTATTTATCTTACTATAAATAACAAGTGAAAAAATTTTCAGCCTTATCAGTTGGACATTCCGGTTTTTATACTGCTTTTTTTAATTCACTAACGCTCTAAAAATGAATATTTCAGCCGCAGTAATGAATAAACGTTGGCGGATTTTGGTTCTTGACATCCTTTACGATTCGTTACAATGCCTAGAGTACGGAGACCTGTACGATTTCGTCAACTTAGTGAGTTTGATAGGGGCCGTATAGTGGGACTTCGGGAAGCTGGACTTTCTTTTCGGGCAATTGCAGTTAGAGTGCAAAGAAGTGTAGACACTGTGGTTAGGTGTTGTCAGGCCTGGCTTCGAGAAGGCCGTACGCAAAGAGCAAGGGGCACTGGACGCCGCCGTAGAACAACACACCGTGAATATCGCCGCCTAAGATTATTGGCCTTAAGGGACCGTTTCTCCACTACCAGGTCCATTGCAAATGAATGGTTTGCAGAACACGAAAGACCTATTGGCATGCGAAGTGTTTACCGACAAATGAGAAGTTTTGGCTTGTTTTCATACCGGCCACACTGGGTCGTCCCTTTAACTCGAGAACACCGACGTAATCGCCTTGAGTGGTGCAGACAACGGTCACTCTGGGATCAGGAATGGAACAGTATTGTCTTTAGTGACGAGTCTCGATTTTGTTTAGGCATGCACGAGGGTCGTGCCAGGGTTAGAAGGCGACGTGGTGAAAGGAGGACTCCACAGTTTTTTGTTGAAAGACATGTTCATCACACTGTTGGAGTTATGGTTTGGGGTGCTATAGCTTATGGTTCCAGGTCACCTTTAATCTTCATCAGAGGTAACATGAACGCGCAGCGTTATATCCACGAAGTTCTAGAACCCCATCTTTTACCCTATCTTGACACCCTGGCAGATCCAACTTTCCAACAAGATAATGCCCGAACACATGTTGCAAGAGTCACAATAGACTTCTTTCATTATAATGATGTCACATTGTTACCATGGCCACCAAGATCTCCCGACTTATCCCCAATTGAGCACGTGTGGGATATGATGGGTAGGAGACTGCTCAATTTGCAACGTCCTCCTCAGACTCTAGAAGCACTTCGAGAGGAGTTGGTGGTTGCCTGGAATGAGATACCACAGGAGGACATTGACCACCTGATCAGAAGCATGCCTAGGCGCGTTGGAGAATGCGTAGCACATCAGGGTGCATTCACACATTATTAAAGGTCAAAGGGCTTTAAAGCAGTGCAATCATTTTGACATTTTCATCATTTACTTATTATGCTTTATTAAAAACTGATACAAAATTTTATTAAAATAAAACCATTTAAACTGGGTGTTCGGATTTATATGTCACTTAGTATATATGAACTTGCTTTAACCCGTTCATGCAGCATATTTACCAGACTAAAGCCTGTGGAAAACATCTGAAGAATAATAATAAAAAGGATATGCAGATTTCAGATTTCTTCAAATCCGAACTATAAGCAAACAAGTTGACTAACTTACGTCCGCAGCGCGCAACGTCTTCGTTAAATACTGATGCACACCATGTCTTTTTCCCTAGTAATTTGCTGGAGCAGGGTCGGATTCGATATCGCATATCATTTCAGAATCTAGTGACACGGTTATCTGATTACCTTGTTGCAAATGCTTAGTTTTACTAGAGCTATACGCTGCATAAAGTAAAATTTCGACTTTAAGAATACCTTGTATGTTAATAACGGGTGATTTTTAAGAGGTATAGGATTTGATTTTCAAATAAAACACAAAAAATTTGAAAAAACTATTAAATCTTTATTTGAGTCGATAGAACGGTCGATATAATTTAATGTTTAAAGATTATTTCATGTAAATGTTGGCCGCGGCTCCGCTTTAGATGGCCCATGCGCAATGTCCAATTTTGGCACACTCTCTCCAACATATCGGTCGGTATCTCACGAATAAATGCTTCAATATTCGCTTCTACTGCGTCAATCGTTGCTGGTTTAACCCTGTAGACATTAGCCTTAACATGGCCCCACAAGAAATAGTCCAACGGCGTTAAATCACACGATCTAGGCGGCCAATTGACGGGCCCCAAACGTGAGATAAACTGTTCACCGAACTCGCCTCTCAATAGAGTCTGTTTCGTGTGCGGTGTGGCATGTGGCACCGTCTTGTTAAAACCACATGTCAACCAAGTCCAGCTCTTCCATTTTGGGCAAAAAAAACTTTGTTATCATCGCACGGTAGCGCTCGCCATTCACAGTTACGTTCCGGTCATTGTCGTCTTTGAAGAAGTACGGCCCGATGATGCCGCCGGCCCATAATCCACACCAAACAGTGATTTTTTCGGGATGCATTGGTAGCTCTTGCAATGCTTCTGGCTGGTCTTCACTCCAGATGCGGCAATTTTGCTCGTTAACGTACCCATTCAACCAGAAATGAGCTTCGTCGCTAAACACAATTTTTCGATAAAAATGTGGATCTTCCTCCAACTTTGCCAGCGCCCATTCACCAAATGGGAAACGTTGTGGAGGTCGTGTGGCTTCAATTCTTGCACCAGCTGTATCTTATAAGGTTTTACACCCAAATCCTGTCGCAAAATTTTCCCCGTAGCGGGGTAACAGAGGCCCAATTGCTGCGAACGGCGGCGAGTCGACATTTCACGGTCATCACTAACACTGGCGGATACAGCCGCAATATTTTCATCAGTCTTCACTCTACGTCTGCGTGTTGGTGGTTTAATGTCCAATAATATAAACTGGGTTCGAAATTTAGTCACAAGCTTCCGAATAGCTCCCTCAGTAGGCCGACTAAATTGCCCATAAATTGGAAGCAGTGCTCGATGCACTCTCTTAACCGAGCATGCATTTTGATAGTAAAATTCAATAATTTGCAAGCGTTGTTCGTTAGTAAGTCGATTCGTGGTTAAATTATAGACCAAACTGAACAATTTTGACAATGACACAAGACACGATTCACGCGTCATCTGCCAAAAACAGTGTTGCCAAAAAGATACTAGCAAAACAATCACCCATTAAAACAAATATTCGACGTAATATGAGAATTCTAATTTTATCGTACTGGTAACTGACAAGCTAGATTCAGTCTTCGTCTCACCTTGCCTCTAGTTTCAACACAACTTGGCCACTGAGGACTAGGTTACTAGCAACAACAACATTTTAAGCCTAACGTGTCTGAATCCTAGACTATCAATTACGGTGACATCTATCCTATTGTCATACTATAGAACTGAAACTAATCGTCTTAGCTCAAGGAATTCTACCATTACTTGTACTTACAAAGTATAAACTAAATTACGGAACGGCGAATTGGAAAAACTTGAGCGACTGCAACTCTCAACCTTAATTGTATTTAGTTCTGGAAGTTTGAGAGGACGACGCGATCCTGAGAACCTTCGTCTAATTTGTAAATTCTTGAAAAGTTCTCTCGGTAACCGTAATGCACAGACGGGTGCTCGAGGCCTTAACAACGCGTTCCTATCAAAAATCAACTCGTATAGACCAGATAGACACGATCGTAGTGAATATAAGGAATATCACAAGATTTGAATTATATTTCGGGATCCAGTCCTCAATATTACATAATTGTGTAGTAGTGGCTTTCCATACTTTTTATCACGAGGTTCAAAGCAAAGGAAAAATGCGCCCGTCCGGTCCTGACTGCCGTTCACCTTGATGATCTAGTGGCGCACCGTCCTATTCGCTTCATTGTGGTTTTCGTGCTTGTGCGACAAGGTTCATTGCGTTCGCTGCCTCAGCTAATAAACAGAGACGAAAAACCGAGTGATATCGCCTGACTTGATACCCCAGGTAATTCTTTTTGAATTATTCTCAAATATTTTCGCCTTTAACATAGAAGATTCAGGGCCTATTTAACGGGACTCCTTAGAAGCATCATACAATTTACTTTTATTTCAGCCCGTTTTTTCAGGGATTATTATAGGTAAATCCAAGAGTCATAAGAAGAAAAATCGCTCACCGAGCAACGCCAAGGGTAATAATGATTGCGACACGTATACCTACTTATTAGAAAGAATGGAGAAACTAGAGACCTTAATTAATCGTCGCAATTCAAGATCTCCGTCCACTTCTTATTCAACCCATAGTCGTTTGTCACGACAAAGGCGTCGCTCAGAACACACACGCAGTCCAAGCGTGTCGTACCGTCGCCGCATGCCGCGTCGATCGATTTCGAAATCGAGAAGCCGTTCCCGCTCTGGCGCTTCTCACTCTTCCTCACGTCGTAATCGGTGAGAGAGAGAATCTCGATCGCCGATGACACCGATCCATGCTCGAACCTTGCCGGTTCAAGATGAGGAGCAGCTATCTCCATCTCTCCAGCTGGTGAATGCAACGTTGCCACGTGCAGAAGCAAATACCGAAAATATGGATTGCGGAGACGACACTTTGATCTTATATAACGATGTAACCTTACCTGAGGACATCTTAAAGCTTATGGGAAAAGATGTAAATACAGACCAAAGCGCTGTTTTCTCCCTGCACGATCAACTTACTACGATCTGGCAAACTATTTTGACTAATGGCTTGAAAAAATCGGATGCTCAAACGCTTTTTAATGCATACCAAACATCAGAAAAACTATCATTCCTTAGACCTCCCGAATTGAATCCGGAAGTAAAGGCTGCCTCGTCAAAACAAAACATCTCTGTGGACGCATCTTATGTCGAGATGCAAAATCAACTTGGAAAAGGCCTGGCTGCACTAGGTAGATCAATTTCCACGATTCTCATTGATTTAGAACATATGCCAGATCAATTCAAGGGCGATTTCCTTACTAATCTATGTGATAGCGGACGAATTCTAACGAATCTCTTCCATCGCATGTCGGTTACACGAAAGAACCTTCTCGTTCCTGGTCTAAAAATATCTAAAGAACTGCAAAATCTCTTCTAAATGTGAGTAAGGATCTGAAACTCCCGACTTATCAGAATAAAGTGGGCGCTTCTAAACCAGCACTCGCTCCCAGAAGGGCACAAAAAGGAGGAGGGGGACAAACCCGAGCTGTCTATACAGAAACCTCAAGATCATCAGGGTCTTTAAACTCTCGCCCCCCGACTCACCGATTGGGGGTAGTGAGTCACGAGAGGGGCCCCTCATCCATATTTCACAAAAACACCTATTGGAACAAACCACAAGAGAAGAGGAGACGACATTAGAATTGGTAAGCAACTATGCAGGTCGCTTGAATTCTTTTTATCAGAAATGGTTAACCCTTACTGACAATCGTATTGTTTTGGGTTGGATCTCAGGATATAAATTACCATTTGTTAAAACACCTATTCAGCCACAAATCCCAAATAACGCTAATCATTCATATGATGAAAACCAATTAATCGGTTCTGAAATTAGTAGGTTACTAAATTCTGGGGCTATAGAAAAGTGTCACGGTAATGTAACTGGGCAGTTTGTTTCTCCCATTTTTTAACCGACAAGCCTAACGGTGGAAAACGCTTTATTTTAAACTTAAAGCGATTAAACGAATTTATCTACGCTCCGCATTTTCAGCTAGAAGACGCCCGAACAGCAAGTAAGTTAGTGCATCGTGGCAACTATGGAGCCACGCTAGACTTGAAAGACGCCTATTATATGCTAGCAGTTCATCGTGACCACAGAAAATATTTACGATTTTCTTTCAAGGATGTTTCATATGAGTTTACTAATGAAACCAATCGTCAACCACGTGAGAGCCAGGGGCGTACCCTGCGTAATTTATCTGGATGACTTTTTGGTTTTGGGACCAACACGTGATGAGTGTTCTAGAAACATTCGTTTGGTTGCTTCTCTTCTAATTTCTCTGGGATTTGTTATCAATTGGCAAAAGAGTGTCCTCTCACCTTCTACGGAATTTAAATTTTTTGGGTTCGTTTTTAATTCTATCGAAATGACCATAGAATTACCACCAATAAAACGTCAAAATCTCAAATTGGATAACGTTTTTTTAAAAAAAACGCACTCTACTTGTAAAATTGTAAAGTTAGCCCAGTTTCTCGGGTTGCTTACATCCGCTTGCCCAGCAGTGAAGTACAGATGGTTGTATACCAAAATATTAGAAAAGGAAAAGTTCCTTGCTTTGTGCCAACACTCCCAAGATTACAATGCAACTATGTGCATTAACCAGACGATAATTGAAGAACTTTATTGGTGGGAACACCATATCAATACTGCTAAAAATGATCTTAAACGAGATCATTTTCACCGAGAGATCTATACAGATGCTAGTTTGTCAGATTGGGGCGCCTTTTGCCAAGGCGAAAGTAGCTATGGTCGATGGACGGAACAAGAATCAAATATTCACATAAACATTTTGGCACTAAGAGCTATATACTTTGGCCTAAAATGTTTTGCCAGAGATTTATCAAATTGCAACGTTCTTATTCGAACGGACAATTCTACGGCACTAGCTTATGTCAATAAAATGGGCAGCGTGCAGCACCCGCAATTAAATGAATTGACAAGAACCATCTGGAAGTGATGCGAATCAAAAAATTTATGGATATTTGCTTCCTACATTCCTTCATCAGAGAGCTGGCAAGCAGACCGTGCGTCTCGCGTTTTGCATACCGAGACAGAGTGGTATCTTAACCAACATGCCTTTGACGCAATAGCTCAAACTTTTGGGATCCCTGATATCGATTTGTTCGCGTCCATAGCTAATCACAAATGTGATAGATACATGTCTTGGTTAAGAGATCCTAGCTCGGAAGAAATTGATGCTTTCACTGTCTCTTGGAAATACTTGAACTTTTACGCGTTCCCACCCTTTTCAATGGTTCTGAGAACCTTACAGAAAATTATCAGTGACGAAGCATCAGGTATCTTGGTGGTTCCTCTTTGGAAGAACCAGCCATGGTACCCATTATTTATACAATTAATTATAGGAAATCCAATCTACTTTGGACCCTCAAGTAATCTCCTGCTTTGCCCTTTCAGCCAAAAGAAACATCCATTATCGGAAAACCTTATCCTGGTGGCGACCAGATCGTCAGGCAAGTTTTTCAACGAAAAGGGATTCCTCCGGAAGCTGTAGACACCATGATGAACTCCTTGAGTGACAATACGATTTCTCAATACAACTGTAGCCTAAGACTTTGGTGGGAATTTTGTCAACTGAGGGACATATCCCCTTTTAAATACGACGTACCCAATATCATTTCATTCCTACAGCAGGTTATGAACACATCAAATAATACTTATAGTTCCTTCAATTCCCATAGGGCGGCTCTTTCCCTTATCACTTCTAGCGATTTAGGGACAAATACAGAGGTAAAACGATTTATGAAAGGAATTTTTCGAACTAGACCGCCTAGGCCTAGATATAATTTTACGTGGAATCCTCAAGATGTACTTAAGTTTTTAAATAAACCGCCTGATAAAGATCTAAGATCCGTATCCTGTAAATTAGTTGCTCTCTTAGTGTTAGCTACCGGACAGAGAATCCAGACTGTTGCTCTTATTAGATGTCCTAATATTAAATTTTCTACCTCAGGGGCAGACATCCAAATCCCCGATTTTGTGAAAACTTCAGGGCCTAAAACACTTCAACCTAAGTTGTCATTGCCATATTTTCATGAATGTCCTAACTTGTGTGTTGCTTCTTGCCTATATCAGTACCTGGAACTAACTAAACCACTCCGCCCTGCCGATTGTGATAAGCTATTTCTCACCTTCAATAAACCACATGGCCCAGCTACTAAGCAAACCTTGAGTCGCTGGGTAAAAAATACAATGACAAAGGCAGGAATCGACACAAATATGTTCAAACCCCATTCCTCAAGGCACGCTTCCACTTCATGTGCGCTAAGACAAGGGGTGCATATAGATGCAATACGCAGATCAGCTGGTTGGAGCCAGGACTCTCAAACCTTTGCAAGGTTTTACAATAGACCTCTAGTAGAGAAAGACAATTATTTAACATCTGTCTTGAATCTATTATCATCAGAAACATAGAGGATATACTTACGGTTATTTGAATTTGTTTAACGTTTGTATCAACTTTTTCGTTTTTCTTAAAATAAAAGTTTCTTCCACCTGTCTTACTGCAACTTCCTTTAAACAGCTACACAATTATGTAATATTGAGGACTGGATCCCGAAATATAATTTATCGATCAAACGAACTTACCTGAAGTTCGATCGTAATTATATGAGGGTCCAGTCCGAAAATATTACAAACCCTACCCCTACCCGCCCCTGAGAGTTGCAGGTAATACATCAGGATACTTTGAAGAATGAAGCGAATAGGACGGTGCGCCACTAGATCATCAAGGTGAACGGCAGTCAGGACCGGACGGGCGCATTTTTCCTTTGCTTTGAACCTCGTGATAAAAAGTATGGAAAGCCACTACTACACAATTATGTAATATTTTCGGACTGGACCCTCATATAATTACGATCGAACTTCAGGTAAGTTCGTTTGATCGATAAATTAAATAGATAACAGGGTCTTCTGGTTTAGATTGTTATTTCTTTACTGAATCCTAGAGTACACGGCATAGAGCTATATTCAATGCACAAGAGTTTATCAGCCTATCGGCATAGACCTTTTACTTCATATTTATAACCTCATGAGAATAAATCCAATGGTGTTAAATCATCGATGTAGGGGACAGAAATGTCTCATGCACCCATTCAATTCTTTCACAAGCTACTTAGCACCGTTTTCAGGCCATTCAGGCAAAACCATGACGTCAAATAGTTTGACTCTGCAGTACCTACGAATCGCTGTCAACAATTTAGGAAGGATTATATTCAGCACAAGTGTTCCTTTTGACAAAAGTTGTATACGAGCATCTACAGGGTGTTTCAGTTTATTGTTGCATAACTTTAAGATTCGATAGAACTTTTAAAATTAATGCATAAAGTCTATATAAACATGGATCGAAAAACGCGTGGCTTCCGAAATACAGGGTGCTTAAGTTTACTTTCTAAAATAGTTTTTTTTAAATATTTCGAACAATATTTGATGTATAACAGTGAAAATTGGTATACAAGGGTTTTTTGGTACGACAAAACGAACCATGGGCATAGTTTTACTGTAGCCGCTAGAGAGCGCTCTTTACTGTACCTGTAGTGTATTAAAATGTCCGACATTTTTTTCTTAGTGGAATTTTTTGTTTTTTGAATAAAAAAACTAATTCTTCGTACTTTTCAACATAAAAAAGCTCTCCTGTAAGTTTTCGTTATAGTTAGCCGTTTTTGAGATAATTCGATTTTTAAGGTACGATGCATTTTTAATTATTTATGGGAAAATAATATTTTTTTACATTTTCGATTTGGGCATTACAAGTAATTAAGATGATCGTTTAGATTGTGTTTTTAAACACAGCAATAATTCCTAACTCCAAATAAACACAAAAAACAGAATATTAATTTGTTTAATTTTCCAATATTATTTTTAACAAATTAAATCAATTATTCACAACTAAAATGCTATTAGATAGTTAGGACAAACATACAAAATCTAAAGTAGTTGCTCGAAATGTAAACCCAATTGTTCAATACACAATTCACATCTACGAATGATCGAACGTGGTATAGCATTATTCAAATAAGGCCTTATTTCATCACATGCATTCCTGATTCTGTCAATTAGCATATCTCTTGTGGTTACGGGAGTCTGGTACACTTTTCTTTTAGAAATCCCCACACCAAGAAATCTAATGGATTTAGGTCAGGGGATCGTAGAGGCCAGGCGACTGGTCCTCCACGGCCGATCCATCTTTCTGGATAATTTTCGTCCAGCCAGTTTCTAACTATTCTCGAATAATGAGCTGGACAACCATCAAGCTGGAACCAGGCCAATCTTCTTAAATCTAACATCATCCCACATATGTCCATGTTCAGCCTTTAAAAATTCCAAGAAGGTCGCAGCATTTAGCCTTGCAGGCAAAAGAT